TGGAGTCATCAAGTGTAGTAGTGGCATTGAAGGTGTTACCTGGTTTTAGCAGACAGTGACCTACCAGCTGGTCAAGGCACTCTGACCTACAATGCCAAAGTCCTCCAAGATATGGTCCTCGTTAGGACTTTTCCCATCTCCTGGCCACACAGCCTTTCCACCTTTGCTATCCCCAGGACCCAGGATCCCCAAAGGAACCAGTGTATTTGGAAGTCTTACCCACCTCTGGTCTCATTGTGTCTTCAATGGGTTTTCTGCAAAGAAAGGGTGATATAGATCTGTTGAGGCACTGGGTAGGTGACATCAGCAAAATGGCAGTATAGGAGATTACAGCCCTCATATCCTCAACAGAAAACATCAAATTTTGACAACCATCCTTGGATGGAAATATCTTTATGGGAAACCAGGAGCCCAGTGGAGAGATTCCAGCACCACATTCAAGAAAAAAAAATCCATGAATAGATGCATTCAAATGGGTAAGAAAAATAGTTTCACTTTACTCATGTCACTCCTCCCCAAAGGCAGCATAGCTTAGTGCCAATAGGGACCCTTTCAGCCTGTGATTTCTTCTGTCAGGGAAAGTGAGAGTGGAATGAACACCTTGATTCCCCAGCCCTGTAAGACATTGACTTAAAGGCCCACTTCTGCTTCACCCTACCCAGATTACTGAAGTAATTGGCGTAGCTGAATCATGTTGGGGGGAGCTGGGAACACGAAAAAGGGGTGGGCACAGGTGGCATCTATCACATGGATCTCAAAAACCAGCTGCAGATCCTACTAGCTGATTTGTGGACTCCACCAAGAGGGCAACCCGTGAACACTGTGGGACTCCTCAACTGCAGGTCACCCCCTCAGCTGACTGACACGTGCCCCCAGCACTTCACACACCCCCTGGAGATGGTGCACGCAAGCCTCTTCAGACAGGATGTAGATATCAGTATCTGGCTCAACTATGTGGGGATGGGAGAAGATGTGCCATCTTGAATGCTCCCGGGCACCACAATGGGGAAAAGAAACAGGAGGCTCTAAGCTCCCAAAATGACTTTATGGGATTAAGAGAAGGCACAAAATCCTAAGCTCTCTTTAAGAGAGAACAAGAAGACAAGGGTAAATGCACCCATAGGAAAGGCCTGAGACTGCCCCCCACCCCCATTCCCACCAAATCTTTAACTGGGCTGATTGGTGAAGAAGATCTTTCACTCCTGAAGTCAGTCAGTAAAGAATGGAAGAGGGGACTGCTTCTTCAGATAAAAAGACCACAATGCAACAGGAAGAATCAAGAAAACAACACCACCAAAGAAACAAAATAAAGCTTCAGTGATGGATCCCAAAGAAATGAGATCCATGAGTTGCCTAAGAAGTAATTCCAAACAGTTATATTAAGTAGGCTCAGTGAACCACAAGAGAACATGGACAACTAATGGAAATCAGGAAAACAGAACAAAATGAGAAGTTCAACAAAGAAACACAAACTAAAAAAGAACCAAACAAAAATTCTGGAGCTGAAGAATACAATGACTGTGCTCAAAAATTCAATAGAGAGCTTCAACAGCAGACTTGATCAAGGAGAAGACAGAATTATTGAGCTTGGAGACAGATAATTTGAAATCCAGAGAAATAAAAATTTTAAAAAGAATGCAAAAGTGTGAGGAAAGCCTATGTGACTTATGAGAAACTATCACATGGCATAATATGGGCACTTTGAGAGCCCCAGAAAGAACAGGGAAAGAGAAAAGGATAGAAAACTTATTTAAAGAAATAATAACAGAAAATGTCCCAAATCTGGGATGGGAAATTAACATCTAGATCTGTGATGCTCAAAAATTCCAGAGAAGCTGAACATCAAGAGGTCTTCACCGATACATTATAATCAAATTGTCTAAAGTCAAAGAGAATTTGGAAAGCAGCAAGAAAAAGTGAATGCCACATTCAAGGGAACTCCTGAAAGACTATCAGGGGACTTCTCAGCACACATCTTGTAGGCCAGGAGGGAGTAGGAAGATAGAATCAAAGTATCAAAAGGAAAAAACCTGCTAACTAAGAATATTTTACCTGGCAAAGCTGTCCTTCAGAAATGAAGCAGAGATAAAGACTTTCCCAGACAAACAAAAGCTTTATCACCTCTAGACTTGGCATACAACAAATGCTAAAGGGAGTTCTTCAAGTTGAAATGAAAGGATGATAGCATAATGAAAACATAAGTAATAAGTCTCACTGGAAAAGGTAAGTATATAGTCTGATTCAGAATACTTTAATACTCTAAGTGTGGTGCTTTAATCACTTTTAATACTAGTATGAAAGTTTAAACAGAAGAATGAAAAATAACTATAGCTGCAATAATTTTTAATGGATACACATTATAAAAAGATGTAAATAGTGATCAGTAACATAAAATGTGGGGAAGGGGTGAAAAAAAATGAAGTTTTTGTATGCAGTCACAGCTGTTCAGCTTAAAAAAGATACAGTATAGGATGTTCTGTGTAAGCCTCATGGTAACCACAAAGAAAAAACCTTTAGTAGATACACAGAAGATAAAAAGGAATCAAAGCATGCTGTTATAAAAATTCAACAAATCACAGAAGATAACAGCAAGAGAGGAAGAAAGGAACAAGAGAACTATAAAATAGAGCACAACAACATGGTAATGGTAATTATTGGTAATTATCAACTAGGCAAGAGTTAAGAAGTGTTGACGAGGATGTAGAGGAAAGGAATTTTGAGCACTCTTGGTGGGAATGTAAATTGGTGCAGCCATTTTGGAAAACAGTATGGAGGTTCCTCAAAAAATTAAAAATACAACTACTATAGATCCAGCAATTTCACTTCTGGGTGTATATTCAAAGGAACTGAAATTATTGTTTTTAACAGATACCTGCATTCCTATGTTCATTGCAGCATTATTCAGAACAGCCAAAATATGGAAACAACTTAATGTCCATGATAGATGGGTGGCTAGGGACAGCTCTTCCTTAGTCTAAGTCCACACCACGATCCTTATCCTGAAAACCTCCTTACTTTTAAGATTCTTCTCCCCATGGATTTCATCTGCCTATTCTAGGGAGTAGGGAGGGGAGAGAAAATAAAACAGAACTGGGCTCATCTTGAGTTTTCTCTTCTAGTTTCTCCTCTAGCTGAGTTTTAATTCAAATCCTTGTAAACGGAGATAGTGAATAATTGACAAACTGAGTAAATGATACTGGGGGAAAGGGTTAGGAGGGGGTGTGTGTGTGGTGTGATATGAAAGAGAATATTTTATATATATACATTATATGTATATTTTTTATATATATAAAAAGAGACAGACAAGAGGATTAGAGGTGGGGGGAAAGGGGGGTGAGGGGGGCGGGAGGAGAGGAGAAGAGATGCACTCACAGTATTATTCTAGTCATTTGTTACTGGAAGTTGAGGCTGAAGAAGATCGAGACTCTATTAACCAGGCACTGAAGTAGGTGCCTTGATCCACATATCTTATCCTCAAACAGTGGACTGGGCTATTTACTGTGCAGCAAACTGAGGCTCTGATAGTAGTGAAAAAGCTGAGATTCCAGCCCAGGTCTGTTTGATTCCGCTCTTTGTTAATGGCTTCTCCAAAAGAGGACACATAAAATGTGTCCTCTTCATTTTATAGCTGAATCATCAAAAGCCTAACTGCATGCAGTGGGAAGAATTTGGGGACAAAATAGTTTGTTTGAATTCCAACTTCACCATGTTCCAGTTCCAGGACCTTTGGCAAGTATCTTTGCCTATGTGAATTTGTTTCTACACCTAAGAAACAGGAGGAGTGATCTTTAGGTTTTGGGGGGATGGGTGTGAATCATAAGCCTTTGTAGCTGTTAAGTTTTCAAAATTATTATTCGTTCATTTCAAATAATACTGTTATTTTAATTACTGTAATAGTAATACTGTTATTACTATTTTTAGAGTGTCTTGCCCACTTCTGCTGCCAAAGCATCAGTTTATCAGCAGAGAAATCAGGTCTTTGATGTGGTTTATGAGCTTTCCTGTAAAGAACTCTCAGATACTCCAGTGTCTACTTCCTGTTTTCTCCTCGGGGTTCTGCAGCTGTCCAGAAGAGAATTCATACTCTTAGAATAGGTTTCCATCTTCCTTCAAGTTTCAGCCTTCTCAATACCTCACTGGCTCTCAGACTTGAGGCCCAGTTAATTATTCTGGGCATTTAAATAAGATAGTCAGCCTAGAAACCTAGAAGACACTTTTAACTCTTTCTTTCTGAATTCCTACAAATTCTTACCTCAGGGTATCTCCTGCATACTTCAAAAGCTCAAGCCAAGTGTCAATTCTTTCCTGACCCATAAGTTTACAGCAAGCATCCCGTTTTTTCTGATTTTATTGATAATATTGCCTGGATCTCGTATTCAGTCTCAAGCAGTAGATTCTGGCCCTTCTCTCCACCCCAGGACAAGGAAAGCATGGTTTCAGGTGTCTAGACTTGCTTTACATTGTAGGGGACATAAGGACTTCTTAGAGTAAGTTGGCCTTAGGATAAATAAATGTTCCTGGATTATATACCCAACTAACTCCTAGAGAAATGTCAGATTGATGCCCACCCTCTACATTAGAATGATACAGGTTTGCTTTTGTTCCTTCCATTAAGGAGGTGGGGAGGAGAGACGACACGTGCAGATTCCAGCCTTCCCCAACCAGCAGATAGGTGCGGCCATAGGAGGAATGGGAGACAGGGGACCCTGTTTCTTCTCCCATAGAGAATATTCAATCTAAGGACTTTTGAGCATCTTTATTAGCCCCACTTACCTTATCTGCTGCTTGGAGGTCCTTCCTGACTTTTGTTCTTGATCCTGGAAAGCATGCTGTGCCATTTGTCCTTGAACAGAAGTCAGAGACTCTGGAGCTGAAGATGGAGATGGCTCCATGTCCTGGGGAAACATAAATGAATAGGGGGAGAGGGCAGGTGTGTAGTGAGAAGAGAGCACTTGCCAGTGGAGAACTACCAGGACAGATGCCTCAGTAGTTCAGGAAGCATCTGTGTTTTGAATGGGTCAGTGTGTTTGTGTGTGAGTGTGTTTGTGTTTGTGTGAAAGTGTGTATAAAGAAAGATAAGGGTGAGAGGAGGAAGGAAGTGTTTGCCCCAGATAAAGTCTCCTTGCCATCTTTTTCAGTAAGAACATAAATTCCAGTGAGAAGGTGGGTAGAAAAAAATAGAAGAGAAACTAAGTAAAAAATAATAGCTGGCTAGGGTTGGGGCTAGGAAATTGGCCAGAGGCTCCGTGAGGGGAAGGTGGGTCCTCAGGCAGGGATAGGAAATAGTGTGTAATGGATTCAAGACTGGAAAAGTCCCCATCCCATCCTACCTCACGGTCACAATCTTCACGGTCAACTAAGGTTAGCACTGTAGGCTGGAGGTCTGTCAGCTCCAGCCTTCAAGTGTTTGTAGGGAAGAGAAAAACCCCACAGTTGATACTGTTAAAAACACGTGGGGCTGAGAGGTCAAATCAGTGACCCAGGCAGAGTTGAATCCTTCTTTGACAAGTTGCTTCCCAGTTCCCCGCTCCCATCCTTCCTCACCTCCAAACCCTAGTCAGGAACTAGGGCAATTATGTCCAGAAACTTACCCAGGTGGGCTCCCCAAGCTGTTCTTCTCCCCACCCCTTCCCCCCTAGAATTTCTCCTCCTCAAGCCCCATCTCAGAACAGCCTCATCTCATCTGTGCCTTTGTCAGCCTAGCCCTGTTCAACTCTTCTGTGACCTCAGCTGTGACCTCATAGATCTGAGACACCTGGCTCTCCCCCCACCCTCAGCCCAGGTTTCATTCCATCTAGGTGGTAATGATAAAATAGTGAGCTAATATTGTGAAATTTTAGTTTTAATTTGTGGGAATTTTTGCTGCATCACTGACCTCCACCCATTGCATTAGACATTCACTACTTCTGAGAGTCAGTAGGAATGAGCCCAGAAGAAGAATCAGTTATTTATTTATTTATTTTAAACATTTTTTATTGATTTATAATCATTTTACAATGTTGTGTCAAATACCAGTGTAGAGCACAATTTTTCAGTTATACATGAACATATATATATTCATTGTCACATTTTTTTCTCTGTGAGCTACCATAAGATCTTGTATATATTTCCCTCTGCTATACAGTATTATCTTGTTTATCTATTGTACATTTTGAAAAAAATTTTTTGGATAGACTGGGATTTCAAAATTTTATATTTTTAATTTCAAAACAGGGTCTAAAAAGTTCGGCTTTGATTTCGAGAGCTAGGTCCTTGAGAGAACTGGTTTTGTTTTGAATTCCAAAAGTCTTTGACTTGAAAGATCAAGAGAGATTGATGAATTATCATGACTGTATAGCCTTAGGATGAAAACAGTTTTCTGCAGGAAAAAATAGTGGTATGTATAGATATTTAAAAATAGGTGTAATAGTGCCAAAAAGAAGGCAGGAAGTGAATATTCGAGAAGAGATAAGTTAGATGTAGGTGTGTAGCTCTGAGGGGGACCCGCTGCTTTTTGGTGATGGTACATGTAAAATCTCCCAATATGTTTAAAAATCTGAGAATAGAAGGAAACAGGGACCTACTTCCTCCCTGCAACTGGAAACCCAGGAAGAACAGCCACAGGGAGTGCACTGAGCCAACAGGAGGAGATTGCGGTAAAATGTATGTTGGCAAACAGGGTTTAAGATAGTACCTTCCAGTTCCAGACATTTTAACAGTGCTGATTCTTCCAATTCATGATCATGGAGTATCTTTCCATTTATTTGTATCATCTTCAATTTCCTTCATCAATGACTTCTAGTCTTCAGAGTATATAGGTCTTTTACCTCCTCAGTATTTCTTCCTAGGTATTTTATTCTCTTTGATGCAATTGTAAATGAGATTGTTTTCTTGCTTTCTCTTTCTGATAATTTATTATTAGTATATAGAAAAGTAACATATTTCCATATATTAATCTTGTATCCTGCAGCTTTACCAAATTAATTTATTAATTCTAATAGTTTTTGGGTGGAGACTTTAGGGTTTTCTATATATGGCATCATTTATGTATGTATGTATATTTTTATTAATAGACTTTATTTTTTAGAGCAATTTCAGGTTCACAGCAGAATTGAGCAGAAAATACAGAGTTTACACATATCCCTCCCTACCCACATATATATACTCCCCTACCCTCAACATCCCTCATCAGTTTGTCATATTTGGTAGAATCGATGGACAAACATGGGCACATTATTATCAACCAAAGTTCATAGTTTACATTAGGGTTCACTCTTGATGTTGTACATTCCATGGGTTTTGACAAATGCGTAATGACATGTAGCCACCACTATAGTATCATACAGAATAATTTCATTGCCCTAAAAATCCCTTGTGATCCATCTTTTCATTCCTCCCTCCCCCCCAAACTCCTGGAAACCACCATCTTTTTATTGTTTCTGTAGCTTTGTATATGGCATCATTTCATCAGACAGTTTTACTTCTTCCCTTCCAATTTTAATGCTTTTTCTTTCTTTCTTTTTTTTTTTTTGTCTGATTGCTGTGGCTAAGACAGTACCCCATTGCAGGCTGGGATGCATGCTGGGGCAGTCCTGACAAGCTGGCCAGAGCCCCAGGCAGTTTTCAATCTGCTGCCTTCATGCTGTGACCAGAAGTAAGCAAATCTGTGCGTGCTCTCTTCAAGAGCAGAGTCTTGGTTCTCTTATAGCCCTCTAATAAACCCCATGGGCTTTAAACCAGTGAAGGGAGGCTTGTCTTCCTGGTGTCAGACCCCAGGGCTGGGGTGCCTAGTATGTGGCTTGAAGCCCTTCCTTACCAGGGAGGATTCCCTACCCTGTGATATCCCCCTCCTCTTTTTGTCCCCCAATGTGGGTCCTGACTAGATCACTTCTGTTTACTTCTTACCAGACTCCATGTGGAAATATCTTTACAACCTTGGCTGTAGAAGAGCTGTTTTGATAGTTCCCAAGTTGACTTTAGTGACAGTCACTCTGTATGTAGTTACAGTTTTGGTTTGTTTGTGAGGGGAGGTGAGCCCAGTGCTTCTACTCTACCAGCTTGATCTCCTCCCAACTTCAGGTTTTTTTATTCCTCAAGTCTTCTGTTCAATCTCTCTGCCTCTATACCTGTGAATTCTGAAAGAAAAACCTGATAACTCTCTCTGGTTGTGTGTCTGTCGAAAATTTCTGTTCTTCTCATGTCTCTCTGGGAGAGAGACTTTCTTTCTACCCCAAGCCTTGGCTTCTGTAGCATTGGAGAGCAGGGTGGGAAGGGACAGACTGGGAGTTCAAGATTTGTAGATACTGACAGGTATATATATATAGAATAGATAAACAATTTTATGCTGTATAGCACAGGGAAATATATTTAAGGTCTTGTAGTAGCTCACAGTGAAAAAGACTAAGAAAATGAATATATATATATTCATATATGACTGAAAACTTGTGCTGTATACCAGAAATTGACACAACATTGTAAACTGACTATAACTCAATAAAACAAAACAAACAAACAAACAAACAAAAAACTCATGGAGGCCAGAAGGCAGTGAAATGACATATTTAAGGTGTTCAAAGAATGAGAATATTACAAAGAAGTCTATAGCCAGCTAAATAATTGTTCAGAAATAAATGTTGCTTATTACAAAACCACAGCAATTAAAGCAATGTGATGCTGGCTTAAAGATAGATATACAGATCAATGGATTAGAATTTAAACCCACATATTTGTAGTCAATTGATAGCCAATCAAGAGTACCAAGACAGTCAACGGGGAAAAGTACTTTTCAACAAATGATATGGGGACAGTTAACTATATGAAAAAAAATAAAGTTGAACCCCTGCCCCATATCATACACGAGACTTAACTCAAAATGCATCAAAAGCCCAAATGTAAGAACTAAAACTATAAAACTCTTAGAAGAAAATAGACAAAAATATTCATGATTATGGGTTAAGCAATAGCTTCTTAGATATAACACCTAAACCACAAGATGCAAAAGAAAACATAGATAAATTGAACTTTATCAAAATTAAAATCTTTTGCACTTTAAAGACACTATTAGAAAACTGAAAAGATAGCCCTAAGAATGGGAGAAAATATTTGCAAGTTGTATATCAGACAAGATTCTAGTATTCAACTATACTAAAGATTCTTGCAGCTTAAGAACAAAAAGGCAAATAACCCAATTAGAAAATGGACATAAGTTTGGAATATATATTTGTCCAAAGTTGATATTCAAATTGCCTGTAAGTACAAGAAAAGTCCTCTACGTTGTTAACAATGGGAGAAATACAAAGCAAAATAACACAATGCCACTTTACACCTATTAGGATAATAATAATGATGATGATGATGATGATGATGATGATGATGATAGACAGTAACAAGTGTTGGAAAGGATATGAAGAAATTGAAACTCTCTTACATTTGGGATGTAAAGTAGTATAGCCACTTTGGAAAACATTTTGGCAGTTCTTCAAAAAGTTAGAGTGTTATCATAAGAATCAGCAGTTTCACTCATAAGAGAGCTAAAACATATGTTCACACAGAAATTTGTATATAAATGTTCACAATGGCATTATTCATAATAGCCCCAAATTAGAAATCAACTGATAAATGGATAAACAAAATGTGATATATTCATACAATATATAAATTATTTAGCCATAAGAAGGAATGAAGTACTGACTTACGCTACAGCAACAAAAACACTATTCAGCAAGGTTACTATTCAAATTTGAAAGAGAATAGAGAGTATTACAGACAAGCAAAAACTAAAAGAGTTCATCACCACTAAATTGGCTTTACAAGAAATGTTAAAGGGACTTCATTAAGTGGAAAAGACAATGCCACAAGGAGAAATATGAAAATTACAAAAGGAGAAATATCACTGGCAAAGGCAAACATACAGTAAAGGTAGTAGAACAACCACTTATAAAGGTTGTAGGAAGGTTAAAAGACAAAAGTAGTAAAATCATCTATTTGCACAATAAGTAAGGGGGAAGGTATAGCTCAGTGGCAGAGTGCATGCTTAGCATGCACGAGGTCCTGGGTTTAATCCCCAGTACCTCCATTAAAATAAATAAATAAGCCTAGTTACCTCCCTCTACCAAAAAACCCCCACAGTAGGTAAATAAGGGATAGACAAAACAAAAAGATATAAATATGATGGCAAAACATTAAACATGGTGAGTGGGAATTAAAAGGTAGGAAGGTTACAGTGCATTTGAACTTAGGAGATCATCAACTTAAAATAATCACATATATATAGGTTGTAATATATGAAACTATGGTAACCGCAAACCAAAACCTTATACCAGATAGACACACAAAAAAGAGAAAGGAATCCAAACATAACACTAAAAACAGCCATCAACACAAGAGAAGAGAGCAAGAGAATAAGGGACAAGAAAGAAAAA